ATGATGAATACAAAGCAGTGAAAGATGGTCCAGCATGCATTCAAAAAAATACATTTTCACACAGTTATATTGATGAAGGCAATGAAGATTGTTTATTTTTGAGCGTATATGTGCCACACTCGGTAAGACCACAAGGAATTATTTCAAACCATTTGGTAGTGTAATGGTTTTTTTAGTTTGAGGGAAATTCTTCGAATTTGGCTGTTTTGGTGTATTACTATGGGGGTGGATTTGTATCTGGCTCTAATATCAAGTCGCAATACGATCCTGCTTATTTCCTTGATCACAACATTGTGTTAGTTACGGCAAATTATCGTGGGGGTCCATTGGGCTTTCTCAGTACGGAGGACGCCAATTGCCCAGGAAATTTTGGTATTAAAGATCAAGCGATGGTGCTTAAATGGACTCAACAGAATATTCAACGATTTGGTGGCGATCCAGAAAGGTAATATTTTATTTTGTGATTTCAAATCTGGCGAGTGCATCTATTTCGTTTTCAATGAATGACTTTTCTCATCAAGTGTTACCATATTCGGATCGAGTGCTGGCAGTGCAAGTGTTACGTATCTAATGATGTCTCCATTAACTGAGGGTATTCAAAAAATTTCAAAGGCTGAAACACCTATAGAATAATGAAATTTTGATTTTGGTCAACATTTTAGGTTTATATTCGAAAGCAATTGCGATGTCAGGCACAAATCTAGCACCATGGGCACAACCAGCTCACAAAGGAGTTGCCAAAAAACGAGCAAAACAATTTGCAGAGTATTTCAATTGTTACTCTCCAAATAATTGGACACAAACTATTGAATGCTTACGAAATGTACCCGCTGCCAGCATCTCATCATCATATTATGATTTCTTCGTAACTGTCATAATTTAAAGTGTTTATTGGATGTCTGGATTTTTTTTAAATACTTTCTTTGATATAGGAATTCGACACTGATCCCGTGGTAGTATTTTCACCAGTTATTGAGCCTGACGTGCCTGGTGCATTCATAACGAAACATCCACGTGAAGAAAGAGCCGAAACTTCCTCCAAAATACCATTCATTACTGGGGTCAACTACGATGAGGGTCTTATGAAATCATTGCGTGAGTTTGCTTCTAAGTTTTCTATTCACTGAATTCAAATTAATATAGTTTTCTATATGTTCAAACGTTTCTAGCCATCATGAACTACCCAGGAGTATTTGAAGAGTTTTCCACTAATTTAAAACGTGCCCTATCCATTTCTCTCTACTACGACCACCATAATTCGTCTATTCAAGACTCGATAACAAAACAAATCGATGATTTTTATTTCGGAAACAATTTTTCAAAGGATAAATTTACGAATTTGACGACTGTAAATCATCATTGAATTCATCAAAAATGCCTTATGAACTTATGAAAATTTATGTGAATTTGTAGTTATTCGGCGATGGATGGTTTCTCGACGCAATGGACTCTTATTTACGAATGAGACTTTCACACACAGATGCTGCACCTACCTATGTATATCTGCTAACTCATAAAGCATCTATCAGTTTTTCTGAAGTGTTTAATGGTGATCCGGAGACATTTTATGGTAAATTGATAATCAAAGAATTAAATCGAAATTGATAAGATATGGAATGAATTTTAAAGGTGTATCTCATGGTGATGACCAGCCATATTTCTTTCCGAAAAGGGACACAGTCTTTTCGAATTCATTGCCAACAAAAGAAGATGACGAAATGCGCAAATCGCTTATACAAATGTGGGTAGACTTTGCTCGTACTGGGTAAGTGATTCAACTGTTGAAGCGATTAAGAGAACAGCAACTTAAAATGTTTAAATTTTGCATCTCGCAGTAATCCAACTCCTGAGTCAAGTAATTTACCAAAATGGATTGAAGCAAAAGAATTTCCGCTGAGATACTATCGCTTTGGTAATCTTAATTTTGATGGCAAACCTATGTTTGGAATGGAAGAAAATGGCATTTTTGAAGAGCGTACCAAATTCTGGAGAGAAATCGAAGCATTTTTGCCCAGCACTCATTCACAAAAAGAAGAAATGTAGATAATAAATATAAAACTCGTCATATGCCATTTTGAAATAATTTAATGAGTTACTTTATTACAGAGTGCCATCCGAGTCGACCGTATCGAAATCTTGTCAAAAGTCTTCCAATTGTCTCGTAATTTCCATGATAAGCTTGCTAAGTTTGGTATTCGGACATTTATTATATAAATTCGTATAAATTAGCAATATAAAGGTAGTTATGATATAAAATTATCTTTTAAATCTATTATTTTCATTACGTTGTTATTAAACAAAGGATCACCGAGATTGATTATTGTAAAAGTTATAATTATATTTAAATAAATAAATAAAATATGATCTTTGTATCAAAATCGCTAATTCTTATACCTAAAAGTGCAAACATCTAAATATTTCTATCATTGAAGTTTTATGACATAGATTTGAGCTCAGACAATATTGAGTAAAATGTTTGTATATTAGCTATATTTTCAGTGGGAGATTTATACTCAAATTATCGCGTTATAATAATGACGTATTTATTTAGTAGAACTAATATCTCTATAACAGTAATGTGCGAGGAAAATTTTTCAGGGGGAGGTGGTTTTTTGAAATCAAAAATTTCTCTAGCAAATCAGACAAATTTTCGTTTTTTTTTGGAAGTCACTTTTTGAGGCGAAAATCCCTAGCAAATCGAAAGGAATTTTCTCCGCGAAAAACCCTAGCAAATCGGAAAAAATTCACTCGGAACCAGAAAACCTAGGAAATTGAAAGAATTCTCCTCAATTTTCTACATTGATGAGCTTAAAAAAAAGGTCTTCACTTTTAGAATCAAAAACCCTAGCAAATTCGAATAATTTTCGTGAAAAAAAATTTCTTATCCAAATCACAGGGGGGAATTACTCATTTTTTGACTCAAGTATCGTCACGTATAGAGCGCACACTCTCAACGAACGAAATAAATACGGCGCAATTGAATGAAAGTCATTTAGTTATAAACAAACTTCGAGTTAACAAGTTATTAAATAGAATGTCTGCTCTCTTGATTTTCTATCGCTATCAGTCACTTTTATTGTGACTTCATTTTTATACATGCAATCAAATATTCATATTGGATGCATGGGTGTTCCTTACCAGACCCCAGTAATTCTTTTTGGACATTTAAAAAATGTATTTCTGCAAAAGAAGCAATTTGGTGAGGGTCTTGCCGATATTTACAAAAGCTCAGATATATATCTGACCAGTAAAGTACCCAAAGTGTCACAAAAAGTTATCAATTTCACCTATATAGATCGATGTAATGTGCCGAAAAAATAAGTTTGTGAAAATAAGGGGGGCCCAATCGAAATAGGGGGGGCAGGGGAGTACCCCACCATGTCAAAAATTCATCGGATCAAAAAATAATGTACTACAAAGTTGTTCAGAATGATGAGAGAAATTTTTTAGGACCCCTGCCCTCCAAGTCTCCCCACCCCCCAGGGGGGTCGGGGGGTCATAACCCATCAAGGTATGATTTTTTCAGCCTGAAACCTCGAAATTCGGAATCAGCATGCCAAAATACCCTAGAAATGATATTCGTCTCGAGCCCATTCACCCCAAGTCGCCCAATAATTCAGAGCCCCCCCCATTAGGGTAAAATGATAAAAAGTCGACTTTTCACTTTTTGGGTGCGGAATTTCGCACTCAAATGTATGGCCAACTATAGCTAATTTTATCCGCACATTTCATTTAGACCATTGCCCATCCTCTCCCATCACCCCCAAGGGGGGTCCCCCTACAAAATTTACGAAAATTTCGAAAAATACCCCGAAATTGGGTCCATACCCCATCTAACCCCAAAATTAATTACATATTCGGATTCCTCGTGAAAAATTACCTATAGGCTCCATACATTCTCAATCTCT